TGGGATGTACCATGTGAGCAAGCCCCTGGCACAGTCATGATGGTATGGGGGAACACTCCTCTCATCCAGGGTACGGAAGCCTGCTTAGGGATTTGTGGGAGACCTTCACCCCATAAAGCAGTAGGGTGAAGGCATGACAGATGGAGAAGGGGTATATTTTCCTTTTTTTTTTTTTTTTTTTTGAGACAGAGTCTCACTTGTTATCCTTAGTAGAGTCATGTGTCATCATAGCTCACAGCAACCTCAAACTCCTGGACTTAAGTGATTCTCTTGCCTCAGCCTCTCAAATAGCTGGGACTACAGGCGCCTGCCACAATGCCTGGCTATTTTTAGGGAACCTGTGAGCTGGGATTACAGGTGTGAGCCACTGTGCCAGGGCTATTTACCTTACTTTTAAATGGGGATCTGAAGCTCACTGCAGACCCTTGGACATGGGTTCGGGATTTTCTCTGGCTACAAGAAGTAGCCTCAGCAAAACATGGATGATATTTCTGAGTCACTGGAAAATCTAGTCTAGTAAGATCACCACAATGGCAAAGCTGGGAAGACCATATAGGTCATAGAACCTTTTTTGCACATGGGGAAATTGAGGCCCAGAAAGGGTACATGGGAAGGTAGTATCACACTTTGAACAGCAGATCTAGGGCTGTTGCCCTAGACTCCTGACTCCTAGCTTAGAGTGCTCATCCAAAACCCTGTTAACAGGTGGTGCTGCTGACAGCTTATGTGTATGTGGGTGCCTGTGTGCATTTGTGCTCATGGTAAGCATTCTTACCCCTGCCCCACCCCAGAGCCCACGTTGGGTATTACCTGTGGATCCCCTTATATGTCTGGGATCACTGGGTTGATGGGACAAATTGGGGGTTGGAAGCCCAGGCAGGGAGGAGGGAAGAAAGGCAATATCTACCTCTGCTCAGCGTCCAGCATGCAGCAGATCCCCAAAACCCCGGAGGGGCAACACTCACCTCAACCCTGAGCACTGGACCCTGCTTGATCCTGGGTAGATCGGCCAGGCTAGGGCTGCCTCCCAGCTCAGTGGCTGCCCTTCAGTGCCTCTGTGCAGGTACAGGTCTGGTTCCTACTTCTCCCTCTTCACCTTTAAGGCCGTTCCTCTCCTCTGGCCCCCTCTGCTGAGCTGGAGTTGGGCACTCCCTCTGGAGTAGCCACAGGCCACCTCCTCCTCAGTCCCTGATTTCCCTGGGGTGGCATGCTCTTCTGCCTGGCTTTTTTCTTTCTGCGTTGCTGCTGCTTCTTTCTCTCTTTCTGCAGTGAGTAACCCATTGATCTAGCTCTCTGAGAGTCGCTTTGTAGTTAACCCCTCCGTGACCAGGGCCCAGCCCACTCCTGGCACTCCCACCTCCTGTGGTCCTGTCTGGTGACTCCACCCCCTATCCTTTTTTCTCCCTGCTCCAAGCAGGGCTCTAATCCACGCTTAAAAAGGATTCCTAGGCCAGGCGCAGTGGCTCATGCCTGTAATCCTAGCACTGGGGAGGCTGAGGAAGGTAGATTGCTTGAGCTCACGGTTCAAAACCAGCCTGAGCCAGAGCGAGATCTTGCCTCTAAAAATAGCCGGGCATTGTGGTGGGCACCTGAAGTCCCAGCTACTTGGGAGACTGAGACAAGAGAATCGCTTAAGCCCAAGAGTTTGAGGTTGCTGTGAGCTATGATACCATAGCAGTTAAAGAAATAAATAAAACAAATAAATTTTAAAAAAAAGGATTCCTAGTCTTAAATGGGGTTTCTTAGGCCAGGAAAGCAGGATATGAGTCCCATTTCTACACACTTTATGTAGGACCCTTCCCTCAGGCCCTGCAAGTCCCCAGCCAATCATTTCCTTCCCTAAGTTCTTTCTGGGGGTTTCGTCCAGGTGAGGACCAGATGTACCTGCTAAACCTGAGTCTGGCTTCAGGTTGAGGACAGTGGGAAGTTAGGGAAAGTTCTAGAGCAGGGAGGTGACCTGCACAAGTTTGTTATGATCTGGGATGAAAAAGATGGATGGAGGGGGAGAGATTTGATGAGTGACCTGCTAGGAGCCTCTTGTCCAGACAAGAATCTCTTGGCTAATAGGTCCTGGTGAATGACTGTGTGTATGATTCAGTCATGAGGTTCTCCTTGGAACACCTCAGAGGAAGAATGGGCCACATGGCCAGACATTTCCAGAGGGTTAGGGAAGCTAGCACCTGGCAAGTGAGGTGCACTGAATTTACCAATATGGAGACTATTGGTAAACTGAACAAGTCTAGTGAGGGCAAAAGGCTGTCTGTGATGAGTTAAGGGAGGGAGAGAAGAGGTGGCAGGGACTGAGTGTTGTCTTTTTTAGAAATTGGGGGTAGGGTAGCATCTCAAGGAGAAGCCTGTGAAGAGGGAGAGAAAATGTAGGGGGTGGGCACTGATGGAGCCAGGACTTGCATTCAAGGCCTAAGGAGCTGGGAAAGAGATCCCTTCGAAAATGAGCTTCCTGGCTCAGCGCCTGTGGATCAAGTGGCTAAGGCGCCAGCCACATACACCTAAGGTAGCGGGTTCGAATCCAGCCCGGGCCTGCCAAACAACAATAATGGCTGCAATCAAAAAATAGCTGGGTGTTGTGGCAGGCGCCTGTGGTCCCAGCTACTTGGGAGGCTGAGGCAGGAGACTCGCTTGAGCCCAGGAGTTGAAGGTTGCTGTGAGCTGTGATGCCATGGCACTCTACCCAGGGGAACAGCTTGAGGCTCTGTCTCAAAAAAAAAAAAAGAAAAGAAAAAAGAAAATGAGCTCCCTGAAAGCCCCTGGGGACTGTCAGCAGGGATTGGAGATGTTTCTCTAAATCCTCCCCAGGTGCAGAGAATTCTTGAATTTTTAGAAGCAGATCACAGAATCGAAACTATTAGTAATCTGATCTAGATGCTCTATACCTAAATTCAAAACCATCAGAATTGAATTTAAGAATTAGAATTGTAGAATCTGATGATCACTGAACAGCAGAACTATAGGATTCTAACTTAGTGTGGTGGGATTTTAGAACCATTGGCGAAGAGCCACAACCACCCTGCCTGAAGTAATGGTACTGTTAGACTCCCGGAAGCATGGACTCTGGAACAGCTGGAAAGCCCCTGAGGTCCATGACACTTTGTCCCTCTGCCCCTTTGGCACCTCCGTGTCCCCTTCTTCAGGGTTGGGGAATACTAGGGCAAAGAACTCCCAGCTGCGGCGCCTGTGGCTCAGTGAGTAGAGCACTGGCCCCATAAGGGTGGCAGGTTCAAACCCGGCCGCAGCTAAACTGCAACAACAACAAAAATAGCCGGGCGTTGTGGCAGGCGCCTGTAGTCCCAGCTACTCTGGAGCTTGAGGCAAGAGAATCGCCTAATCCCAAGAGCTGGAGGTTGCTGTGAGCTGTGACGCCATAGTACTCTACCGAGGGTGACAAAGTGAGACTCTCTCTAAAAACAAAAGAGCTGCCATCTGCTATGAGAGCAGAGATGGAGGGAAAGGAGGGAGGACGCAGGCAACCAAAGAGTGTGCAGCCGTGGGGCAGGCAGGATGGACATGCCATCAAGGCTCCCAGTTCAGTATGCCCTTCCCATTCAGCCTAGTGACCCAGGTGGCCACAGCCTTGAACACAGTGCCTAACTCAGAGGACGCCCTGGGCCTCTGCCTCCGCACGACCAATAGCTGGTCGCGGGCATCTGGCGACTACGAGGACACGCCCAAGCTAAAACACACGCGCCCAGAGCGGCTGCTGAGCCTGCTGGGCGCCTCCTACGACCCCTTCTGGATGGCGGCGGAGATACCACCAGGCGGCGGACTTCGGCCGGCAGAGCCGGACGCCGTTTACCGCAAGCTGGCGACAGCGCAGAGGGCTAACCCATGCCTGGACCCTGAAAGTCGTGGCGCTGCCTCTGCCCGCCGGGATACGCCACGCTAGCAGCAGCACCCAGAAGCTACCGCAGGATCTAGCGCGCGTTCTGTGCCACTTCACTCTAGCTTGGACCGTGTGGTCTGCCCCTGCTGGGTACTGCCACACCAACTGCGACCGTGCCCGCTCCTGGTCGCCCGGCATAACTTGCCGGCCTACGCAGACCTCACATCAAACTGACAGCTTGGGACTGCTATCCCCGGGTGCCGCCAGGCCGTACACACCCACTAAGGTAGTGCCCTATTCAGCGATGCCTTGCACGTTCCGGCCCCTGACGTGGCCACAGCTGTCCCCCGCCGGGCCACATCCCACCCTCCACGTCTCATCAGCTCTGGAACCCAAGGCTCAGGCTAGGATTCCCAGAATTCCAGCTTCAAGAGTCTGCAGGACTGAGCCCCAGCTCGCCTACACCGTCCCTATCCAGATGTCTGGGCGAGGAGGCGGAGGTGCAGGATATTAGAGATGTAGGTCTGGTTTCCTGTCGTTAACGGTACAGAGCCTTTTCATCCTCAATGCCTCAAGCAAACTACAGGCTTCTCAAGGCCACACCACGCTGAGGCTGGAACTGCGGTTACTCAGAACACACTCCCCACCCCTACTCGCACCAGGCCCATAAGACTGAGCATGGAGGGTGGAGATACCCTACTCCCTACACCGTGCTTGTACGACCAGGACAGCGATTGTGTATGTGTGGGGTTGACACTTCCAATAAGGGAGCAGCGAACCATAATGGGGGACAAGGAAAAATGGGGTCTTGGCGGCAGCAAATCACCTTCTAGTTTTGCCTGCGGGGCTGCTCAGGCAACCGCCGTCCAAGGCCCGGGGGCGGGGCAGGGGAGTCAGCGGTGACAGCCTAGCCGGGACCTGAACTCGCTGCGCCCCCTGGCGGCTGCGTTCCAGACCGCAGCCTTAGAGCGAGCGTGACGGAAGGACCCCCTGATCTCAATGTGGGAGGGGGGGGACTGACACACAGGACTGGGGGTGCCCTGTGCCAGAGTCAGGCAGGGAAAAAGTGGGCTGGAACACAGAGTTTGACTGTTAGGGCCTTCCCAATGGTGATTCACATTTTTTTTTTTTTAGATCCTGAATCCTCTGCCTCTCCTCCCCAACATAGGTTTGAGCACCAGCTCCAGCTAGGTGCGGCAGGGCAGAGGAGGTGGTGTCCACCAAAGCTAGACCTGGGGGCTGCAGAGTATTGGCTGGGTGGCAGGGGAAAGGGCCTGAAGGCTGTTCTTAGCTGTTCAATCCAACTGAACCAGACTGTGGTCCCTGCCAACTCCCAGATTTCTGGGTCCCCTTTAATTGGGGGGGGGGGTCAGCTCTGATAGGTACAGTCCTCAGCAGCCCATCCCCAGAGCTTGAGCTTCTGCCTGATTCTTTAACAGGATTGGGCCTGCTCAGAAAGAATAAAACAGACCGAAGGATCGGGCACAGTGGCTCATGTCTATAATCCTAGCAAAGATAGGCTAATTGTTTGAGCTCAGGAGTTTGAGACCAGCCTGAGCAAGAGTGAGACCCCATCATTACAAAAAAAGAAAAAGAAAAACTGGCTGGGTGTTGTGGTGGGTACCTGTAGTCCCAGGCACTCAGGAGGCTGAGGCAAGAGGATAGCTCAAATTTGAGGTTGCTATGAGCTAAGAAGCCATGGCACTCTACCCAGAGTGATAGAGTGAGACCCTGTCTCAAAAAAAGAAAAGAAAAGAAAAGAAAAGAAAAGAAACCCAAAAAACCACAGACCAAACCGTAATGGCCAATTTTCATATTTGTTTCATATACGCACAGCCACAAGCACAGGCCTCATCTCAACCAGGACCTAGGACTCTGGCTTAGGGCTCAGAGCCTCTGACAGTAGGTGGACTTTGGAGCTGTTTGTTTCTACCCAGAGCTCAGGGAAGTGCCCCATGTAGCCTCCCCACTTCCACGAACGCTTCCACGCAACGGTCAATATCTTCTTCGCTGTGTACTGCTGAGATTTGTACCCGGATCCGAGCCTTGCCCTTGGGGACTACTGGGTAGCTGAATCCGATGACAAAGATGCCTGGGAGGGTAGAGAGCAAGGGCATGCCAGATAGGATTTTGGGGACATAACACATAGCTTCTACCTTCCTGAGTCCACAGTCTCAGACTTGGACCTGCTTCATAGGCTGGGATTTTTGAGCTTAGACAGCAGGTCTAAGAAAGGTATAGAGTGTGAGGGAGTGTGACGGGGAATATTCAGTCAAGAGGACTCCCTCTCTTTTCTCTTAGGACCTGCTCCCAGTTCTCTCATCCCAATGCCCTTACCTCTCTTTAGCATGTCATCTGCCATGCAAGAGGCCAGCCGGGCATCACCCAGCATCACAGGGCAGATGGGGTGACTGGCTCCTGAGATGGTGAAGCCAGCAGCCTCCATCTTACTGCGGAACCTGTGGGCACAAGCCGGGTATCACTGGTACTAGAGGGCCATAGAGCATTCACACCCACAC